GGGATGGGGGGCGAGTACCCACGCCGATCGGCAAAACAACGAAGAAGAGAACGACGACCAGGGGTGCACGGCGTGCTGTGTTTGAGGTGATCTTTGATCATCTTCGAACAAGTCCCAAGAGGGTTCTCGGCCGCTCGCGCCAGCCCTGCGGGACAGAGGGCTCCCGTCGGCATTATTAGAGGCCTCCTAGATGGGATCCGAACAGATGGGGCCGAAGGATCGCGCCGCATTGCCAATGCATCGCCGATGTATCGGTGATGCATCGGCGACGTCGGCGTGGGAAACCACGGGCTCTACATCGAACCGCATCGTCGACGCATCGGCGATGCGGCGCGATCCTCCGACCCCATCTACTCGGACCCCATCTAGGAAGCCTAATAATTCTGCCTCGTAAAGAGTCTCAAGATGTCTCCAAGACGGGCCGAGATGCTCCCAAGATGGCCTCAATATTGCTCGAGAAGCCCTCAAACGCCACAGGAGGGCCCCATGAGGACCTCCACGAGGCGAACATGATTGATACCCCTTGGGGTGCTTAAACTGACTTCAGTGCTCCACTTCCAACGCTGCAAGACATCCCACAGGCCCCCAACGCTAAAAGACATCCCACAGGCTTCCCAACGCCAAAAGACATCCCACAGGCTTCCTCTTTCGGGCTCCCAACGCTAAAAGGCATCCCACAAGCCCCTGACGTTAAACGACATGTCACAGGCTTCCAACGCTAAAGGACATCCCACAGGCTTCTCGGTTCGGGCTCCCAACGCTAAAAAGGTATCCTGCAGGCCCCCAGGATCGGCCCAAGAGGCCCGCGAGACGGCTCAAGAGCGCCCCAAGACGGCCCAAGGGGGCCCCAAGAATGCCCAAGAGGGCCCCAAGAGGGCCCCAGAGGGGCCCCAAGAGGGCCCCAAGACTACCCAAGAGGGCCCCAAGGCTGCCCAAGAGGCTCAAGCGCCAGCAGAGGGACCCACGACTGCCCAGAGAGGGTCCCAGGACGGCCTCCCAAGGCCAAGAGGCCCATTAGAGGCCTCCAGGAGGCCCCAGGAGGACCACAAGACGCACCTCAGAGGCCACCAAGAGGCCCCCAAGAAGCTCTCAGGAAGCCCCAAGAGGATCCTCCTCCTCCTCCCCCCCCTCCTCCCCCTCCTCCTCCTCCTCCTCCTCCTCCTCCTCCTGCTCCTCCTCCTCCTCCTCCTCCTCCTCCTCCTCCTCCCCCTCCTCTTCCTCCTCCTTCTCGTCCTCCCTTTCCTCCGTTCTCCTTACTTTCCTTCCTCTCCCAACTGTTCCCCCTAAGGGGTTCGGCAACCGCTGGGATACCACAACGTCCAATAGTATGGCCCGACGTCAACCCAATGTTTGGCCGCATGGGTGTTTCCAGAAGGCAGAGTGTGGCGGTGATTCGCCGTAGGCGCCTTCGACATAACTGCACAGCTCCATGCTGATGTTTCGATGTGTATCCACTCGTGAATTGAATGGTGCGTCCATTGCAAATCCGCCGGCCCCCTTGCGGAGCCACCAGGCTGCGAGGCTTAGGGTTGCTGCTCCCTGTGCAAGTTCCAGTTTCCAGTTTCCATTGTTACAATGCTGCTTTCTGCTTCCTTCTATAAATTGTTACTGTCCACGCGAGGGGGTGGAGCCAAAAAGGACCCTGGTCAGCACCCCCCGGGAGGGTTCTCAGAATTTCTGGGGGGGCGTGGGACAGGAAAAAATACGCTAGTTTCGTGCCCCCCAAGCCATAATCCCTCGCAGATTACGCTGTATTCGCACCCCCGAGGCCACGATCCCTCATAAATTACGCCGCACTCGCGTCTCCGAGGCCACGATCCCTAGTAATTTACGCCACATTTGCGTCTCCGAGGCCACGATCCTTCGTACCTTACTCCACGTTCGCGCCCTCGAGGCCACGATCCCTCGTAATTTACGCGACATTCGCGCCCCCGAAGCCACGATCCCATGTAATTTACATCATGTTCGCGCCCCCAAGGCCACGACCCTCGTGAATTACCACGAATTCGCGCCCCTGACGCCACGATCCCTTGTAAATTACGCAGCGGGGGCGCCCCCGAGGCCACGCATCCGCCGTGCGGAGGCTGCCGAAAAAAGGAGCTCCCCCTTTCCAAAGCAGAAAAAAGACAATGTTGTGTATTGGGAGATGTGCTCCGCTGGTATTATTTTGCCCCCCCCCCCCCTCCCTGTTTCTGGAAAATTTGGCGGTGGGTTCCATTTTCCCCCCCCAGGCAACGATCCCTTGTAAGTTACGCCACATTCGCGCCCCCGAGGCCACGATCCCGCGTGAATTACACCACATTTGCGCCCCCGAGGCAACGATCCCACGTAAATTACGCCGCTGTCGCGCTCCCCAAGCCACGATCCCTCGTACATTACGCCACATTCGCGTCCCCGAGGCCACGATCTCCAGCAAATTACACAAAATTCGCGCGCACCCCCCACGCTACGAATCCACCCCGCAGAAGCTGCCCAAAGGCGCCACTCCTTCTCCAGAGCAGAAAACAATAACCTTCCCAGAGATTGCCTGAAGCAATCCCCAGCCGTTCCCAGAGCGCTTCCAGTGAACAAGTGGAGGAAAATGCCAAGAAGGCAACAAAGCGTTCAACAACAACTTCAACACCTCAATCTGTTTGGCTCATCGCCAGCCGCCCGAGCATGACGTTCCAGAATGTCATCAAGACGGCGCCCGAACATCCCAATATAGCTCTGATGTATCCCATTATGATAGAGGGGGGGCCGGCGGCAGGGGGCGAAGCCCTTACGGATCAAAGATGATGCCACTCTCCCCACAACCTCCTTATCACCCAAAGGGTGTTAAGGTATCTATGCCCTGCGGATTGGCCGCTGCGAGACAAGCAGAACTGACCTGCATCCGAGGGGATCTTCGGGCGAGCACCTGCTCACCAGCTCACTGTCGTCAGTGGTGGGATAGACGGGATCGGCTGGCAAGATAGAGGAGGGGGTTGAGGAAGGAGGCAGGAGGTAGGAAAAAGTAGGGTGCCGTCGGCAGCACACGTCCATGCCGGAGCGACGCGGCTCAGAGGTGCGAGCTAGTCCCAAGACGCCTTGCCGAACATGAAGCTCGCCTCTTCGACGAGTACTCCTTCGATGCTGCCAGTGGCGCTGCCGGGTGGAGCGCTGGGGCACTTGCACATCTTGTTGTCCAGGCCCAGGCCGCTCTTGCCATCGAATCTGCCCATCAAGCTGGCGGCCGCCTCGTTGTCCCGCGAGCGACCCCCCGTACGAGCCTTGTCCCAACGGTCCTTCCACGCGGGCCGGAAGTAGTAGCCGTGGTCCGCGTCGTCCTGACTCTCGATGCGGTAGCGCGCCGTGGCCCTGTGATGGACGCACGCGGCAGAGGGGCGCTCCAGGCTCTCTGGGTGTGCGTCGAAGCCGAGCAGGCCGCCGACATCCACGCGGCCAAGTTGGGATAGCTGCCGCACAGCCACGTTGAGGTGCTCCTGCTCGGGCAAGTCCTGGCGAATGGTGATCTTGGCGCCAGTCGGGCTCTTTTTGTGGCGCAGGGAGAGGGTGAACATACCAGCCGCAGTCGGCCCCGCCTTTGAGCGCTTCTTGGGGAACCAGGTCGCCTTGTCTAGCGAAACCTCGATGTCCGATTCCGAGTCGGAGAGCACAAGGTCCTTCGTCTCGAATTCCTCGATGGTCTGCCAGGGGAACTCACCTTTGCCCTCGAGCAACCGCGCACCGAGGAACGTGTCGGTGTCGTTCGAATGCGACTTGCGGTAGCAGCGAATCTCCACGGCCTTATCGCCGAGCCAGGCGCCCGAGAGCTCCACGTGCGTGATGTACGTGGTGCATGGCTTCCCCACGTCCGGCTGGACGACTGCTTGGAAAGAGAACTCGGCCGCCTTCTCCACAGCCTGCGGGAAACGGAGCAGTGTGAACGTGCCTTCGTGGTTGATATCGAAGTGCTCTCCTTGAAGGTTGACCAAGTGCGGGTCGCCCTTGGCCCCGACGGTCGGGGCTGGAGTCGAGAATTCGGGGTACGGGCCAGCATTGGAGCACTCACCAGTGCCATTGGGGTAAAGTGTGCACACCTCGGTGGTCTCGCAGCAATCAGTGCCGCATGCGCAGCAACAACCATCAGCGAAGGGAGAGAATGCGCCGCTCACCTGAGTCCCGTCAGTGGATGTGCAGGCCTGCTGAACTGTCGTGTCATATTGAAAGTTTCCAGGGAGCGGGTCGTTAAGATCGAGTTCGTATCCCCCAGTAATAGGAGAGATCCCAATGACGACTGTTGAATGTGTGACAATTGTGGACGGGTCACTCGATAATCTTCCAGAGATGGTGATACTGTCGCCGAGTGAGAACTCAGTACATGTTTGATACGCGACATGCACAGGAATCGTAGTGCTTCCGTTTGGGAGGTTTGATGCACCTGGGATGTAAGGATCGCAACAATCGTCTGCGTCGGGGTCCTGGCAGGGCACGAAGGGAGCCGGGCAGGAAGTGCACTCTAAGGAGCGGCGCCTGCGCGTTTCGCCAATGCAGTCGACGCACTCGCAGGGGTTCGGGACAATGTACTTGCCCTGAGGGCATTCGTCGCACGGCTCGGGGACATCCACCGGACAGACTGATTGGTTAACCGCATAAACCATTTCGAACTCGGTCTGGTTGATGCAAGCGTCATCATCCAAGTCCCACTTCTCTGGCCCGCAGGTTGCGGGTACCATGAAACAGTATTCCAAGATGGGCATCTGCAAGTCGCACTCGTTTTGGGTAAGGCAACCATCCCCATTGAGGTCGTACCTGTGGAAGCATTCTGGCACGTGACATGCGCAAGGGACTCCTGGCGCCTCAAATTTGAATGTTGGCTCGGGTGTGGGCTGCGGTGTCGGCTCCGACGTCGGGGGCGCTGTCGGCGGAGGAGACGGCTGTGGCCGCCCCTTATCATGGCGGTCCTCCACGATCGGCGCTGGCGCTGGCGGCGCTGCAGCCTTCGCCGCCTCCTCTGCAGCTGTGGCTTTCGCGGCAGCCTCCTCGGCAGCCTCGGCCTCCGCGAGAGCCTCAGCCGCCTCCTCTGCGGCCTTGACCGCCGCTGCAGCCTTTGCCGCTGCGGCCTTTCTCGCCGCTACCATGGCCGTCTCAGCCTCTGCGGCGGCCTTAGCCGCCTCCTTTGCCGCCTTGGCCGCCGCGGCAACCCTCTCGGCAACCTCGGCCTCCGCCAAAGCCTTCGCCTTGTCGTCTGCGGTCCTGGCATCCGGTACAGCCTTCGACGCTGCGGCATTCCTCGCCGCCTCCTTGGCCGCCTCGGCCTCCGTGGCAGCCTTCGCCGCCTCCTCTTCGGCTTTGGCATCCTCGGCAGCTTTCGCAGCCTGTTCCGCTGCACTGGCCTCTGAAGCAACATTGGCGGCCTCGTCTGCAGCTTTGGCCTCCGCGGCAGCCTTCGCCGCCTCCTCTGCCGCCGTGGCCTCCGCGGCAGCCTTCTCGGTAGCCTTGGCATCCGCGAACGCCTTCGCCGCCTGCTCTGCGGCCCTGGCATCTGCTGCGGCCTTTGCCGCTGCTGCATCCCACGCCGAATCGTCGACCGCCCTGGCCTCCGCGGCAGCCTGGGCCGCCTCCTCTGCGTGGCGCTGGTGCTGCATTACATTGGCGCTGGCCTCCATGATCTTGCGCCACACGGCCGCGCTCTCCCCCGAAATCTGCTCGGGCCCGTCTCTGTCCCCGTCCTCCACGATCTTGATGGCGGCAGTCGCTCGCAACAACACGGCTACGGCCAGAGCACGGAGAGGAAACATCATATGAAGCATGCTGTCCCGGCGAAATGAATCCGCTGGCCCCTTGCATGTGATGAGGCTTTCCCACGCACGTTTCGAATTTCCAGTGTCCAATGTTATACATCGAAGCCCACCAGCCTTCTGGGCGTGAGTGGTCTAGGGGGGTTCCTCGTCCAAGCTCCCTTATTCCCCTTCGGGGAGGGGTTTAGCCCTCCCCCTATCCCCTACCCCTGAACAGGGCGCCCCGCGACCCAGTGGAGCGTCCAAGATGGCCCATGATGGCTCCAAGAGGGCCTCAGAGAGCCCATGATGGCCTCCAAGACGGCTCAAGATGGCTCAAGAGTGTTCAAGATGGCATCCAAGATGCTCCTAGAGCCTCCAAGAACGCCTCAAGACGGCTCCAGGTGGCCTCGGAGATCCCCCATCAGAGAGCCCCCAAGAGGCCAACATCCTTCCAAAACATGGAACAATCGATTTTGCTTTCTGGCGTTTTCGCTTCCGATGGCCCTCCGAAGCCTCAAACAGGCTCTCAGATGGCCCACGAGGGCACCAAGAGAGGCCCAAGAGGTCCCCAAGACGGCCCCCAAAGCGCCCAAGAGCGCGCCAAGAAGGCTCCCAAAGGGGATTTTCAAGGCTCTAGCGGGGCGCCGGTAATTAATGACCCCCCCTTCCTTTGATCGATATTTACAACATGGCCTCAAGAGGGCCTCCAGGGCTCGCAAGAGAACCCCAAGATGCCGTGGTCAGCCCAACTCACCTGGGCATCGTTTCTGGATGGGCTGGTGGGGATATGCGAAGCTAAATTGTCACTGTCCGCGCGAAGGGAAAGGGGGGGACGACAACCACTGTGACCACCACACAAAACTGTGTACTCTGAATTGGGGATGGGGTCCTGGGACACGTAAGCGTGCATCACGTTCGTGTCCCCGAGGCCGTCATCATCTGCAAATTACTACAGGGTCGCGCTCCCCCCGAAGCTATGACCCCACGTCAGTTACATCATGTTCGCGCCCCCGTGGCAAAGATCCCATGCAAATTGCCCCACCTTCGCGCCCCCTTCAAAGCACGATCCCTTGTAGATTACCACGGCTCCCGCCCCCGAGGCGTGCATCCTTGTCAGATTCGCGGCCACGAGGCCACGATCCATACACGAGAATTCGCACCTCCGAGGCCACGATCCTTCGTAAATGGCCCCGCACACGTGGCCCTGAGGCCACGATCCAGCGTGAATCACAACAGACTCGCGGCCCCGAAAACGCCATCCCACGTAAATTACAACGCGCTCGTGCTCCCGTGGCCGCAGCCAGTCCCAACAAATCTCTAGCTGGGGCGCGGCGGAAGCAGCAAACCCAGGGAAATTACGTGGCACTCGGGCCCCCGAAGCCACTTCGCCACGATGCCATCCCGACTCGCCAGTTGGATTCCAGCGTGGGTCTGTTAGTATAGAGAGGGTCATGAAACAAACGTTGCGACACATATTCTGCGTATCTGTGCATATGCGGTCTGGCAAATCGGGGCGGCATCATCGCGACGCCAAGGGGCGTCGCGGACTCGAGCCTTTGGCCTGGAAGCACGAAACGCACGATTACCCAGATCACGAAGTTCTGCAACCAGTCACTGTGTTCTGGGGGTGCACGGACACGCAAAACACTGTTCAGCTAATCGTTAGCTGGCGCCCGCCTCGAACTCATGCCCCACCCCCCGCCTCTTCCAAATATCCATTCGCTGTGGCCCCGCCCTCCTCATGCCCTCCGACTGCCCCGGTCCTCATCGTGCCCTTCATCCACACTGCTCCCCCCATGTGCCAATTCACGTCGTTCCTCGTCGTCCTCCTGCGCTGGATTCGTTCCTCCATCGTCTACATGCCCGCCCTCCTCCCATCCTCTACGCCCTAATGCACATCATGCCCCCAACTTCTGCCCCCCCCCCGCCTCCCTCGCCCTCGTGATGCTGACACCGATGATGCAGATCCTCCTGGGCTCATTTCCTCCGCTCTCGTCCAGTCCCGCTCATCCTTGGCCCCTCGGCCCCCCCCCATCGAACCCCTTCCTTCCCACAGCCCACCATCCACACACCCCCGCGCCTTTGCATGCCCAGACCACGGCCCCCTCCTGGACCAGCCGGGAGACCCGCGGAAACTCCCGCCCATAGACCACTCCAGCGAACGGCGCGCAACAAATGCACAGTTGGAGACACGAACTGTGTATTTCGACCGCGCACGACGCTCCCCCTGGACCAGCCGGAAGAGAAACGCGAAAGTTCCCGCCCATTCAACACCACCCGCGAGGGGCACACTCCAAATACACAGATGGGAACGAGATCTGTGTACACAGATCACACCACGATCTGTGTAAACAGCGGGCCCACACACGAAAATACACAGTTGAAGACACAAACTGTGTACACAGATCACACCTTGATCTGTGTATTTCGAAAAGGTAAACGCTTGCCACCTCGAGGGCGCCCCGACTTTGCCAGCCCAGAACCGAGGTTGACATGCCCAGTTGGGGGGGAATGCGAATACACACTTTCCCGGCCCAGGGCGCCCCCGAGAGAACCGCAAATACACGCTTCTGTGGCCCAGGGCGGCCGCGGTGCAACGCGGCGCCAAAGCGGCCCCCAACGGCCCGAAGACGCCCCAAAAAGGCCTCGAAGGACCACGAAGAATGCCGCGCAGCAGTCCGAAAACACGAGAGATGTCACATGTCACGGACCTCTTAACAGTCAAAGTTCCACGCGTCGCCATATAGACCACTGCTCCGGCAGGGGGGCGGACCTTGCCGTAGGCACTTATAATTTACGTGTTAGCGATGCGACTGTGCTCGGCGGCCGTGCCGCCCGCATTTTGGGTGCGCCCCGAATTCTCGCATTGGCAATCCCCTCTGTTTGGTTGCGCCGCTGTGCTCGGATATCGAAAAAGCATTTACCGCTGACGCGGGCACGCGGCACCAGGGACTTCATTTTTCGAACAAGGAGGGCGGGCGAGGTAGGACTACGGACGGTGGAGCAGGGAGGCAAAGAGGAACGAGGAATAATAAGGCAGGTGGGAAGGGGCGCTCCCCCGCCCGAGCCGCGGACGCTTTCGACACCATCCAGGGGAGGGAAGAAAGGAAGGGAAACGGAGCAAGGGCGAGGACGACGACGGGAAGCAAGTGTCCCGGGTCCGCATATAACCATATGTCTGCGACTCGGGTGCGCGCGCTTTCTTCGAGGCACTTCAAGCCGGACCCATGCTGAATTCACTATTTCCTCAAAGCTGTGTAAACACTCTGTCCTCTGTTCCCTCTCCTATACAACGGCCTCATAACAGAGGGGCAGTGGATTCCAACTCGCCAGGGGAGGCAAGCATTGTGCGATTATGATGTGTTTTAACGCAAAGGCAAAAGAGGGGGCCCTAGAGGTCAAACGGCGGCGAGCGGCGGCAAGTGGTGCGTATACACACGTCACGCATGCTCTATGTCACACCCGTGAAACTTTAGCACGAGCTAGCCGGCAGGCCGCGCAGTATCGTTGGTTTAAGTAAACCTCAAGGGGCAAAACAAGAACCATTCCCATGTTGGGACTACTCAAGGCGGTCAGGACTCAGTCACTTACTTCCCTGATGGGATAGCATTCGCCCTGGCCCTCGCCAGTTGTTTCTTCACCTTCTTTAAGGTAGACTCAGGATCTGGAGTTATATCATACGTGCCAGTACGTAAGATCTGAGCAAGGAAATCCGTATGCATATTCTTCGTCCGACAATCAACAGCCATGATACTTGTACCGATCCATCGGATCCTATCACGAAATTTCGTGGATGTAAAATCTCTACTTCTTCCATTCCGTTAGTCCAAACACCTTGGTTTAAACTCCCTAAATCAATACTCGAGCGCTTATCTTCTGCCTTGCCCATAGTTGGGGTTATAAGATGTTCTTCAAGACTCATACAATCCGTCATCCATGAATGTCTCACAGACATGGCTGATATGTCTTCCCACTTGGTTGGCAACTTCTTTCCGGCGCCAAGCATCCCGCGAGCGTCTGCGATGGCGGCGCGGATGCGCACACCGGATTCTACACCCCATAAACAAGCCAGAGTCTCTGCCTGCACTGTAGATTTACATACTCGTTTGATACATATACTACATATACATATAGGGTGAACATGATCATTGTTCCCCTCACTGAACCCAGGCCCTGCGAGCCCAGTGAACCTAGCCTTCTGTGATCTGAGAGGCTCGAATCTGCCCTTGGCTATATCCTCTTCTCCTGCCTAGCTGGCGACAGTAACGGTAAGAACTAGCAGCTCCACCTTTAAATGCTAATCCGCAGTCGACGGACTGAGTTGCTTCTTCTACTACACGGTTGGCTTCCTTGATATAAAGTAACTTAGCGTGACGCACACCTGTCTGCAGTCTGCTCGCGCGATACAATTAACTCAGGTTTACACTGACGCGTAACACATGACAAAGCACCGACGACCGATCTGAGTTGTGCTGTCTCACCCGGATTGCATTATCTCGTGAGGGGCTGTCCCTAGGATAGGATGCAGCTTCGATATTATCAAGATTATCCTCGGCCGTAATACTCGCCATGAAATCTTCATCTTGAGCAACTTCTAAACCACAATAGCGGGAACTATCCGACTTGTTCTCGCGAGTATCAAACTCTGCTAATGCCGAATCGATGATTTCTTGCTGTCATTATCTGCAGCCCATAGTATGCCATCTACATGTGTACCTAGCATACAAGCGATCTCATTCCTGTCATTGTCAATATTGAACAATGTGGACATGCTACGATTCTCCTTCCGCGAATCCCACCAGCCCTCTGGGCGTAGGTGGTTCGCGGAGTTTCCTCTTCCATCTTCCCTTCTTCCCCATCGGGGAAGGGTTTACCCCTCCCCCTAACCCCCTCCCCCGGACCTGGACGGGGGGGTTCGCTGGTAGTTGGAGCGTCCAAAACGGCCTCGGCGAAGAAGCCAAAATCATAGGTTTTACCAGGGTTTTGGGTGATTTTAGCGGCTCCCGAGGGGGGACGCTAATTGGGGGCCCCCCTTCCTTTGATCGATCAC